TTATTTTTTTTTGATGTACCACTTGGGTAAATTGATTTGAGTATGAGTTCAGGACTAAGATTTATTTTGGAAAAGTAGGTTTTTTGATAGCTAGTTAATACTTTAATGTCTCATTTAAAAAATTTCCCTAGTATTTTTCTTGAGTGTAAAAAAACTAATATTATGTGTGCAATTTTTTATTTTTGCAAAATAGAAAATTTTAACTTTAAACTAAGTTAAGTTACTTTTTTTCAAAGTTAACTTTTAACTTAACGAGTTAACGTAAAAAATATGATTAACTTTTAATTTAACTTAACTTTATTATTTTAAAATAACTTAACGAGTTAAAAAAAATCGTTAACTTGCCCAGCCTCGATAATACCAATATTCCCACTTCCCAGTACTGTCGTCTATCAGGTTATTCTTAGACCTTCGACTTGAATTATTTAATATTATTATATAAAGCTCATTTATTATTGTCGTCAATCGTCAATTGACGATCGACGATCAACGATACAATTATTATTATTAAATTCTTAAAAGTGGTGCACATTAGCGACAAATTACAATAATAATTCTAGGTACCTAAATATATACGTATAATTAATTATATTTGTAATGCGAGTACATTATACAATTTTAAAAATTTATTTTACAATGATGTGTGTTTTTTTTAGTGTGTGTACAGCATAATTAGTCGAAATAATGCTTCAATTTCAAACTTTGTGGGTGGTTTCCGATGTAAAAGTGAATATCCTTGGTGCATTATAGAGGTCAAAAGTAAACATTTTCCAACAGTTTTCAAAAGAATAACAATTATTACCGATATAGAGTAGGTAGCGAGACCCGGTACCTTAGATCATATACTATATGGATGGAGCTACAACAGCGTATTATTTTGAAGCCGATATTAACGACTAGTCTCTGAATTAAGTGTTCGATATGGGGATGCGTGATTCATTCTGTCACATAATTATCTATAGGCAGTACCCAAGGTCAAAATATAACTATATAACATGTGGATAAATAAGTGACGAATTACATCATGCATGATGCACATATCGAACACCTAATTCGGTGACTCGTCGCTATAATATAGAATTTATCCTTTTGTTTGAAAGGAGAACCCGCGGCAACATAGGCCATTGGGTGTGGRGTGKTRCGGTAGGGGYTATYTTTGTAWRTTTGTTTGTAGGTTTTTAAGTGGGTAGGGTTGTAACACGTGTTTGTGTATGTGTGGCAAGGATATGTTGCTAAAAATCCCGGGTGGACAACCATCCGGGAGCTAGCAACTGCGACGGGTACGTACGCTCGGTGTGTTTCCGCAGATTGAGCGTACGACCGCGCCACACCAAGCCACTTATCCTTTTGTATTGGAATAATACGTTGTGGCGTAATCCATAGTAG